CCTTTTTTTTTTTTTTTTTTTCGGCCGCGCTCCGGAAGCCGTGTTTTTTTTTTTTTTTTTTTGGAATGGCACGGCCGAGTTCCGTTTTTTTTTTTTTTTTTTTCCGGACCCCCGCCCGCGAGAGCTTTTTTTTTTTTTTTTTTTCCGGCGCCCCGGGGACGCCCCCTTTTTTTTTTTTTTTTTTTGGACGCGGCCCCCTCCGTGGGGTTTTTTTTTTTTTTTTTTTGGGTCGGACCGAGCTCCGTGCTTTTTTTTTTTTTTTTTTTTGCCGCCTCCGGGGGGCGCGCAGTTTTTTTTTTTTTTTTTTTAAGTTCTGGGCGCGGGGGGCGTTTTTTTTTTTTTTTTTTTTGGGCCGCGGGGAGGGAGCGTGCTTTTTTTTTTTTTTTTTTTGAGTTCCTCCCCGAAGTTCAGGTTTTTTTTTTTTTTTTTTTGGGCCTGCCCGCCCCTCCAGCCTTTTTTTTTTTTTTTTTTTTCGGGGGCGGCCTCCGCGTGTCTTTTTTTTTTTTTTTTTTTAGCTTGCGGCGGGGAGTGGACGTTTTTTTTTTTTTTTTTTTCGGCTCCTGGAGCACACCTGCCGCCAGGTTCGGGGGAGGGAACAGTTTCTAGGAACTGCCCTGTTTTTTTTTTTTTTTTTTTTTTCTGCTTCTGCTGTGCACTGTTTTTTTTTTTTTTTTTTTTTCCCGTTTTGTTTTATAAAAGTTTTTTTTTTTTTTTTTTTGGATGGCGGTGGCCGGTGGCCCTTTTTTTTTTTTTTTTTTTGGGCGGCGGGGAACGGGCAGACCCGACTGGATCCTCCCTCAGCGCCCACTCGTGGAAGGGGCATTTTTTTTTTTTTTTTTTTCGCTGCTTCTCTAAGCCCCCTGTTTTTTTTTTTTTTTTTTTCTGGGAGATGAATTTGTGGGTTTTTTTTTTTTTTTTTTTTTGTCAGAAATTTGATAGGATCAAAATCAGAGACTTGCCTTGGAGAGGTGCTTCTAGTCATTCCATTTTTTTTTTTTTTTTTTTCAATGTTGGGGTCAGGAAACCCTTTTTTTTTTTTTTTTTTTGCTTTCGTGAATTTTTTCAAAATTTTTTTTTTTTTTTTTTTAAAATAATACTCTTTCATTACCTTTTTTTTTTTTTTTTTTTCTAATGAATAAGATGACTTCCCAGAGACAGGGACTGTTAAGGTTTTGGCGTGCTGCTTCACAGTTTTTTTTTTTTTTTTTTTGTGAACAGCTTTCCTGATGCGTCCTTAGAGCAGCTCTGAGCGTTTCCTGCGGGCAAATCCCTATTTTTTTTTTTTTTTTTTTAGACTATGCTGTGTTTTGCCAAAATGCCCTCCAGAAACGCTGGACCAGCCTGCCGTCCACTCATTTTTTTTTTTTTTTTTTTGCTTGCCTGTCCTTTTGCCAGCTTTTTTTTTTTTTTTTTTTATTATGTCTTTGGCAGTCTGATTTTTTTTTTTTTTTTTTTTATCACTGGAATCCTAATTTCTTTTTTTTTTTTTTTTTTTTTACATCTTTTCATTTTATTATTGTTTTTTTTTTTTTTTTTTTATGTTCTTTGCCCATTTTTTGTTTTTTTTTTTTTTTTTTTTTCTTTTTCTTAGGGATTCTAAGTTTTTTTTTTTTTTTTTTTTTTAGCCCTTCTCTGTGCCATATTTTTTTTTTTTTTTTTTTGTAAATGCAATGTGTGGACAGGCGCGGTGGCTCACGCCTGTAATCCCAGCACTTTGGGAGGCCTTTTTTTTTTTTTTTTTTTAAGTCAAGAGTTTGAGACCAGCTTTTTTTTTTTTTTTTTTTCTCGTCTCTACTAAAAATACAATTTTTTTTTTTTTTTTTTTGCGGGTGCCTGTAATCCCAGCTTTTTTTTTTTTTTTTTTTTGAGAATTGCTTGAACCCAGGAATTTTTTTTTTTTTTTTTTTGACACCGTGCCACTACAGTCCATTTTTTTTTTTTTTTTTTTACTCTGTCTCAAACAACAACAATTTTTTTTTTTTTTTTTTTAAACTGTATTGTACAACAGTACTTTTTTTTTTTTTTTTTTTCAGTAGTACCGTATACTCTTGTTTTTTTTTTTTTTTTTTTTGTTATTTTTCTTTTGACTTTCGTTTTTTTTTTTTTTTTTTTTTTTTTTTTTTTTGAGACAGGGTTTTTTTTTTTTTTTTTTTGGCTGGAGTGTACTGGTGTGATTTTTTTTTTTTTTTTTTTTAACCTCCCCAGGCTCAGGTGATTTTTTTTTTTTTTTTTTTTAGTAGCTGGGACTACAGGTGCATTTTTTTTTTTTTTTTTTTTTTTTGTTTTTGTTTTTGTAGATTTTTTTTTTTTTTTTTTTCCCCAGGCTGGCCTTGAACTCCTTTTTTTTTTTTTTTTTTTCTCCTTGGCTTCCCAAAGTGCTTTTTTTTTTTTTTTTTTTTACTGTGTCTGGCCGTTTTATTTTTTTTTTTTTTTTTTTTTTAAAGTTCTTCTGTAGCTAAATCTTTTTTTTTTTTTTTTTTTGTTTCTGGCTTTGGGGTAAGGCCTGGGATAGCTTTTACCACTGTAAGATTTCATAATCATTCATTTTTTTTTTTTTTTTTTTCCAAAGTAAGAGAGCAGCGTAGTTTTTTTTTTTTTTTTTTTTACGGCTTTCGGGAGATTCCTGGGCCAGAGTGTATGGCACGTAATAAACAGTTTCTCAAAACATTTTTTTTTTTTTTTTTTTTTTGAAGCTACCGACGTTCAGATTTTTTTTTTTTTTTTTTTTTTATTTTTTTATCAAATTCTTTTTTTTTTTTTTTTTTTTTTTGTGAGGCCTTCATTGGAGGAACAAGGAGGGGGCGTCTGTCATTGTCAGACTCTCCTGTTGTTTTTTTTTTTTTTTTTTTTCTTGGGACTCCCTAGTCAGGCTTTTTTTTTTTTTTTTTTTTCCTCCGGGGGTCAGCACGCAGGGTTACCTTCATTATCCGCCATGGAGGAAGTGAGGACTCCTGTTTTTTTTTTTTTTTTTTTAGGGCTCTGCTGTCCACAGTGGTTTTTTTTTTTTTTTTTTTACAGGTGAACAGGGCTTCACGTTTTTTTTTTTTTTTTTTTTTGGGCTCTTGGGCCCCTGTGTGTTTTTTTTTTTTTTTTTTTCCTCCGCTTGGCCTTCTGTGAATTTTTTTTTTTTTTTTTTTGGACCACGTCAAGGTCACTCTCCATGTGGTGTGGAGAGACCACCTGGGAGAGATGGCTGAGGGTTTTTTTTTTTTTTTTTTTTGAGCTCATGAGAAAAGCCAGCTTTTTTTTTTTTTTTTTTTTCCTTTACAGAATTAGTGACATTTTTTTTTTTTTTTTTTTTTCGAGGGCTGCGCTCGGTGGCTTTTTTTTTTTTTTTTTTTTCTTTGGGAGGCCGAGGAGGGCGTTTTTTTTTTTTTTTTTTTTTGGAGACCAGCCTGGCCAGCATTTTTTTTTTTTTTTTTTTCTTTAAAAAAAAAAAAAAAAAATTTTTTTTTTTTTTTTTTTCACGCCTGTAATCCCAGCTCTCAGGAGGCTGAGGCAGGAGAATCGCTTGAACCTGGGATGGGATTTTTTTTTTTTTTTTTTTAACAAAGAAACTCAAATGAAAGTTTTTTTTTTTTTTTTTTTACACAAGGAAGCTCCACAGTCCTTTTTTTTTTTTTTTTTTTGAAGGCACCCGAGACCCTGCTGTTTTTTTTTTTTTTTTTTTGTTGGGAGGTCATCCTGCTGTGTTTTTTTTTTTTTTTTTTTAGGTCACATTTGAGTGTTGCTTAGCCCTTTGTCCTGAAGTTACGTGCACACAGTTTGTCCAGGTTTTTTTTTTTTTTTTTTTCTCCAACCTTGTCAAAGCGGAGTTTTTTTTTTTTTTTTTTTGGGACAGCGAAATGAACCCTGGTTTTTTTTTTTTTTTTTTTCCTCTGCTGGAAGGCAGGTGGGTTTTTTTTTTTTTTTTTTTAAGGAGTCCAGGGAGCATAAGATTTTTTTTTTTTTTTTTTTCAGAATGATGTGAAGTGTCACCCCAGTACGCTTTCAGAAGCAGAGTGGGCTGGCGCGCCACCCTTTTTTTTTTTTTTTTTTTTGTCGGGACCCAGGTGAGCGGCT